AAAAAAGGAATGACAGGAAAAAAAAAAACTGATTGACAATGACAAGGTCATTGTAATCCTAACAATAATGATTGTAGTACCGTTTGATAAATGTCAAATGAAAAAAGATAAAACGATAATTTGATAACCAAACTTTAATTAGCTTTTTTTTAGCTTTACATTCAAATTTTTCTTTCTTCCATTTATTATCGAAAGATACTAAGAAAATTTAAGAAATTTACAAATTCTTCATTTCTTCCATTTATTACGGAAAAATTATACAGCTACGAAATTTGTAAATATTTTCCTCTCTTTTTTTTTTGTTTAATAATTAAAATGTGAAAAATAAAAATTGAACAAAATGGATGAAATGATGAGAAAAAAGTTAATTGTATAGTATGAATGAAGATGATAAACTGAAAGATTGGAGAGAAATAATTTGATAACCAAATGCTGATTAACTTTTTCTTTCATAACCAGCTCTTTTCTTACCTTTTTATATTTAACAAATTAATTGGCTTATTTTCTAGGTTTTTATATTTAAGAAAAATCTAAGAAAAGAAATTTACAAATCTGAATGCAATACCAGGTGAAAAAAATGGTGCAAAAATTTGGTGAAGAAAAAAAAAGTGTTACAAGTAGAAGAACACAAAAAGTAAAATCTTTATTGGAATTCAAAAAAAGTAATAGAAAATACATATTTGATTTAAGAATGGTGCAAGAAAAAAAAACAAATGAAAAATTAAATTAAAAAAAAAAAAAATCATGTCAACAAATGTTCTTTGAATTGTTTTTTCTCCTTTTCATTTTTTGAAACTTTTTTTTTTCTAAATTACTTCAATGATAAACAAAAATTAAGGTTGCTTACTGATTGAACATAATAATTTGTTTATGAAAACTATTTCAATAATATTTGTTCAAACTAAAGTCAAATTTGACTTTAATCGTTTTTTTCTTCGTCCAATTTTTTTTTTTCGTTTTAAATGAATGATTCCAACATTCACATCATTCCCATTTCATCGTACAATTCCACCATTTGCTCGTTATAACTTTCCATCTTAAATAATCATAAAACTGTTGGCAGAATATGAATATGAATTAGTTAAAAAAGTAAAAGTAAAAAAAAAAAAGTGAGAAAAAAAATGAACGAGAAAATTTGTGTAAAAGAAAAGAAAATGTTAAAATCAAATAAGACAATATTGCATTTGTGAACAATCGTTTGCAAAAAAAAAAAAATTTCTCATTTTAATTTCATATAATTCGCCTCAATCACATTGTAAAATGAAAAAGCTAACAATTGTTTTTTTTTTAAATTTTATAAAAGAAATGAAAAAAAAAGTTAAAAAATTCAGTTTCACATGGGAAAATTTGATTGAAACAAATCTCTCTCATTTCTATCGTTATCACAAAGAAAATGGAAAATGCATTCAGCATAATATTGTTAGCTTCAATTTTTGGCACTTTTTTTTTTGAATTTTTTATTCATTTTTTTTTAAAATGCACTTTTATTCTCATATCATTTCTAACGTTCCTTATTTTATTTTAAAGAATTAAGTATTTGATGATTTATAATAAATTAAATTTGATAACATCAGAAATTTTTTTTAAAAAAATTAATAACTTCAATTGTTTGTATAGCAATTATGTATGATAATATTGTTGCTTGAAAATATTATGATTTCATTTGGCAATATTATAGTTGTAATTGATAGTATAATTAAATTCAATATATAATTATCAATATTTTGTACATGTTTACTACATTTTTGTTTATTTTATTTACATTTATCTCTTTTTTTTCCTCTCCTGAATGATTTCCATGCAGATGCAATATTTTTTGTGCTTTAAATGTTAGCAATTTCTTTTTTTTTTCTTTTTAAATTTTTTGTTTTCTTTCAGTTTTTTTTGGGTTTTATTTTGACTACAAAATAACATTTGATATTATTTTTACTTTTCACCATTTGATATATTATTATTATTAGCATATCCATTGAAAAAGCTAACATTTGTTTTGTGAATAAATAAAAACAACAATAAACAATGACCGATATAAAAGCAAATTTATTTTATCATTCATGTCTGAGTTATAAAAAAGCTAAAAAAACGGTTTCATTTCAAATAATTTGATCGTTATTATAAGCATAATTATCGTAATCAAAAAAAAAAAAAATCATAAGCCATGTTTTGTCAAATCATTAATTCATTTTATCGCTTTAAAATTTCTAACAGAAAGAATTTACCAAATTTGCTTAAAAGTTCTCAGAGTCTATAGCGGCAACATATAAAATATAATAAATATGCTTAAAGTAGAATAAAAAGCTTTTAGAAGACAATTCAGATCATCAAATTTTTCAAAGGTATTTTTTGAAAAAAAAAACGCTATTGAAATTAATTTTTTTTATAAATTGCCATTACATAAGAAACTTGCAAAATCATGTTTTCTTTTAAATAAAATAATCAATCCAGATAAATGATTAGAATAAATATTGCGTGAACATTTAAAAAGCATTTCACATTTTCAATTTTATTATCATTCTTTGCTAATTTTAACAAATTGTAACGAGGGAGACGATGAAGATGCTCCAAAATACACTTTGCTTAACGAAATAATATTTTTATTCGAAATTTCAGCATAAATTTTAGCAATGTTATCTAGCTCATGTGTAATGACGCATGAATTTGTGCAGGTTTACGTGTGTATGTGGAGTGGACATGTTCGTAAGTTTGCGCACGCTCATGCAATTGCACGTCTGTACATCTCTCTCTGCAACTGATGAATTCACATCCCTGCAGCATTTTTATTACCTTTATGGTGCAATAGTTGCAAATTTACAGTTTTCATTTTGCATCTCGTGATTACAAATCTTCTCCCAAATTCCATTGATTGGTATTTCCGTCGAGAATGAAGAAAAGTGATGATGGCTTGCACTGATAGCTTCTTGATCGTTGAATACGAATCAACCGATCATTCAAATGGTCGCTATCATCAAAACACCATCATGATCACTACTATTACCACTATCATTACCTTTGTCGACAAATAAAAATAGGACAAAAATAAGGAATAATAGTAATTAAAGATTAATAACGATTACTAACAGTAATAGTAAGTTAAAATTGTAGAAAATTTAAAAAATACATGAAACGAAAATGAAATTAATCAAGAATTGTAATATTTTTAGGTAACGATTTTTTATTTAAAACTTTAAAAAAATGACGAAAACTGTGGAACCGAAATAAAATTCCTCAAAAACAATAATTTTTTTGTATTAAAAAAATTTTTTTTTATAATATTTTCAGCATTACTAAAGCGTGAATTTTTGAATTTTCAAAAATCATGAATTCATTGATTTTTAAAGAGATAAAAATAGGAAAAACTTGAAAATTGGAAAGATTACATAATTTTTTAATTGGGAAAAGAGAAATGTTTCATTTTAAAATTCTATTTAAATTTTCTTACGATCAAAATTTTTCAGGTAAATGGTATTTGATCAGTAACGATGATCAGACATCGGGGCTAAATTGCAACCAAAAAATTTCGAAATGATGTGCATGCATATGTTGACCCTTGATCTTTTACATAAGTCGAGAAGTTATGAATGGTAAATGCTTCTTACCAATTGCATTGATCTTTGAGCTATTCGTTACAACCTAAGCAATTGTCTTTTGCATGAAAAAAAAAAAAACGAGAATATAAAAAATCACATATTTTCTGCTTCCGTTGAGTTGCAAAATTTTGCAATTAGAAATGACAATTGTCTGATAAGATCAGTTGGCGGAATTTGCATCAAATTTCAAAATGACCTTTGCACTTGTTCCAAACTTGTATTGTACATATGAATATATAAATATGGAAAGTGGAGAAAAGTGAAGCGGTAGAATTTCATTTTATTCTATGCAATAACAAAATTTCAACTTTTTTTTTTCATTTTTTTCACTTCAAACTTTTTCCTCTTTAATAAGCTATTAATATCTTATAGTATCAAACAAAAAAAAAAAATGAAACTGGTTTTCTACAGTGATAGAAACATTTTTTAGCAAAATAAAGTGTATTTATTTTTCTTAATTTAAAAAAAAAAGAGCTTTCGCTAATTTTTATTTCCACTTCTCTCATATTATAGTTATTAATTGTTTTCATTCCATTATTTTTGTATTTTTTTGAATCATTTCTTTAATATTTTTGAAATGTAAAAAAAATAATAAAATTGTTACGAAATTTTATTATTGAGAGCAAATATAATTACGCTGTATACGTTGAAGAATTATTTCAATTTTCACTAATAGTATTTAACACACCTCTAATTTTAAAAAGACAGAAAGTGAAAGCTTAAATTATGAAGCTGACAATATAATATTTTTTACTTATCAAATGTATCATTGTTCATTTAATCCATCCATTTTTTAAACAGAGAAAATCTTCGCAATTATTTAATTTAATTAATTTAATGATTGCACTGTTTTTTTTAATTTTTGAAAAATTTAAACTGAATAAGTGAATTTCATTTCAAATTTTAAATTTCTTTCTTAAGAGAAATATTTCAAACTAAAATACTCTTCATGCAAATATTGTCCAATAATTAATAAAGTTGTATTCCTCATTTAATTGTTAATTTCAAAGAATCTAAATGGTTTCTTTTTTCATGCAAATTTAAGAAAAGACGAATAAATACTCTATTAATTTATCATTTACAGTAATTTCTTCAACACTGAGTGAATTCATTGCTTTGTCATTTTTTTTTCTCTTAGTCGTCATTTCTTTTTTAATTCATTCATTTTTAATTTTTGGACTTTCATTTATAATTAAAAATTTTTTTCATCTGGATGTATTATTCCGCAGTACAACAGATGTTGTTGACTGCGTTAATTTTTATCAGCTGGTCATGTCATATCACATCATCGATAATCATTCCTGTATTGGTAAGTACTATTTCTTAAAAGCATGATATTAGTGCCTTTCTGATAAACAATCATTAGTCATTAATTTTTTCTTTTTTAAAAAAAAATTCGAATCCTTTTTATTTTCTAATTAAATAATAATCGAAAAGCGCTTAATTTTGACAAAGTTTAATTTGAAATAATTGATTTATTTCGAGAATTTCAAGCAACTCTTATTTTTAATTATTAGTTATTGCAGAGAGAAATCAAATTATTTATGTTTGCTTTAAGGAAACAAAAAATAAGAAAAAAATTATATCATAAGGCAAACTTTTTATTTTGTCCTAAAAATGCTAACGATCGATTGTGATTGATAATATAGTTATCAAATGATAACTAGAATTGATGAAATAATTATGGCAATTGTTGAGGAAAAATTTACGAAATAATTTGTGCTTAGCATCAAAAAATTTTGAAAATGTTACAATTTTATACGAGAAAAAACAGAAAGAAGAAACGAATAAAAAAGGGATTGACAATTTTCTGCTTTTATTTTTCATTTAATTAAATATTTCTTTTGTTATTTTGAAAAAATAAAAAAATTTTGCATTTTTTGAATATTATCCCTTTTTAATTTCAGCTTTAATTGACTTCAAAATTTTTTATTAATTGAAGAAAATTTTAGCGGAATAAACATCCAGAAAATGTTCCGGAAACGGTGGTAATCAAAGAGCAGCTGGCAAACAATAAAACCGATGGAATGATGCTGTCAGCAGAAGGAACATGTAAACAGTACTTGGGTAATAATATAAAAATAGTTGAAGGCGATATCATGCTTACAAAGTTTGTTTTTCGTTTTTTAAATATCAAAAAAATAAAAAAATTTTTCAAAATTATTTTGCTAAGGAATATCCTCTAAGTTGGTTTCAGAATTTGTATAATTAAAATATTTTAAAAGATATGAATAAAAATTTCTATCATATTTCAAACATGACAATTTTTTTCTTTGAGAAATAGAAAAAGAAACGAAACTATTTGTTGATATAAAGAATAGTATTTTATGTATTTCAATCACGATTCTACAACAATTTCATTATTTAATAAATGAATTTTTGGTGATTTTACCTATTTTTAACAAATTCAGACTGCAATTCCCTTTATTAATTTGAAATTATTAAAATTTGTTAAAACTATTAAGGATCATATTAATTTTAAATTTGAAAAATTAATTTTTGATTATAATAAGAAACGAATATTTTGTTCTGTTTTTCTTTTTTTTTTTTTTTGTAAGAAATATAAAAAAGAAAATTTATTTTCTCACAGGCAACAAGAAGAAATTTGGAATCAAACACTCGATTATGCTATAACATTTTCAAAACGAACTGTCACAACTGGACGAAATAAGCGACAAGCTTATTATGCAAATGATTATTTTTGGACAGATGGCATTGTACCGTATATATTTGAATCAGGACTTTGTATGAATATAATTATACTATTTTCCAAGCTTTAATTTTACGTAAAATACGTGTATCATAGACTTTAAAGATGGCTTTATTGAGTGATTAAATTCGGAAAGCTTAGATTATAAAACGAAATTGTATAGTGTACATTAAACTTAAAAAATATGCACTTAGTTTAACACTAACGATAATTGCACATTTGTGCAATTATCGCAAATCTTATCGAATTTATTTTACTTTTGTTTCCAGGAATACATTGATAAAAATATGATAAGTGATCATAATGTTATCATAAAAAAGTTTCATTAACTGCATATGACAAACAGACTAATATGTAGTTTTATTGCTAACAAATTTGGTATTGCAAGAACAGCAAGTAATAAAATCATTTACCTAAAATCTGCTAATTTTAATTTCAAGCCGAGGTTGGAAAAACATGTTAACACGTTTATTGATTTTAAATATTTTTTGATTGATTTCCAAAAATGTGATCTTTAAAACTTTGATCTTTGAAAAATTTTCTTTTCCAGCAAAACATGCTCGATATATCATAAAGAAATCGATGGAAAATTGGGAAAAAAATACATGTATTACTTTTGTTCCAACTAACTATAGAAGAAATGCACTTGTTTTTGTTCGAGTTAGTTGTTTACTCCAGACAATTAATTAATTAATTACGAAGGATTTGCCTGATTAAGTGTAGCAAATTTGGAAAAAAAAAACGGCAATCCTTAATATTTAAAGAACAAAAAGAATGAAAGATTAAATCTTAAATTTGAAGGGTTCAAGCT